GCACCAGAGCAGAGCTGGCAAGAGCCAGAGCCAGCCAGTGAAAACAGCCCAATAAATACAGTTCAGGCTGATTAGCCAAACGTCCCTGTTATTTCAAACAGGGTCGCCCCCTCCGCCCGCCAACTGTCTGTTACATTTAAAAATCCCTCTGTTATCTGAAACCTCAAGTATCCACATGTATTCCATGTCCCCTTAGGACACTTAGGGCATGCCTACACTAGGAAATTATTTCATAATCTGAAATAACTACTAGAAAAAACACCAAAAATCGAACTAGCATGTCCCTACTACGGGGGAGCCTCAAAATTAGTCCAAGGCAGGTTCTGTTATTATGGACACGCTACCTCGACTTAGAGCCCCAGGAAGTACTGGAGAGTAATTACTTCCAATGACTCTGAGGAGCGGTTATTTCGAAATAGCAACAGCAGCGCTATTGCTAAATAACGGTTTTGAAATAAGCGTTATTCCCTGAGGGAAGCAGGAGTGCCGATTTCAAAATAACGAGCCCCGTTATTTCGAAATAACGGGCTTGGTAGTGTGGACACGCCACCTATTATTTCAAAGTAAGGGGAGTTATTTCCAAAGAACTCCCTAGTGTAGACCAGGGCTTAGATAGCTGGTGATGCAATGTAGGATCAGAAAAATCAGAAATAGGTATAAGAACTTTACCACCAACTTTATACCCAACTATGGGGCGCACATATGCAAGTTAGAACCGTGACACAAGTTGCAAATAAAAGTCAACATTAAGAATGTCTTTTAAAGCCTTGTTACTACATGAGGCTCTGAAATGCATGTTAAAAGCTATATTGATAATGGAACCAGATAAAAAAGTTGAGAGAAGTCAGAGCTGGAAAGTTTGGTTCCAGATCAACTCTGCATTTGTTCGGGATTTCAAACCGAGGGTCAGGTCAGATCACAGTAGAGATGAGACTGGCTGCAAAGTTCAGTCCGATCCAGACTCGAGGTGGAGTTGTGTTTGGACTCAAGGTTCTGACCCATTGCTCTTAAAAACTGCATGTCAGATCCTCAGTGTAAATCAACATCAATTCATTATTGGCTCTCCTGCCAATCATCAGCTGAGATGCTATAGGTTTTTTTAATGCATATTTTAATTGGCCACACAACCCATTCTGCGTTCAAAGATAACGTGTCCCACCAACTTACGTTCGGGCTTGCTTTCGCAGTTAAAGCCTCTGCTCCCCCCATAGCAGGTACAGACAAGCATTCTCCCCAGGTAAGTGCGTTCCCATTGTTGGTTTATCTGATAATGTCTCCCATTGTCATAACAGCCCTCTGAAAAAGAAACAGAAGTCATGGGTTACTTTTGCCGCCTTCCACCACAGAGCTCCAAACACAAGACCAAAGGGGAGTTGAACCATTGTTTTCTTCTCTCTTAGGTTCTGGTCCTGCCTTCTCTGCACACACAAAACTCGTGCTGAGACCATGGCAGTTTGGGATACGCAGAGAAAGCAAGATCAAGCATTAGATTCTGCAGCAACTGCCAGGGAGTTCAGAAACACTTTGAAACAAGCGTTTTAGAATCCCAGCTAGGGCCCGAGCCAAAGCTCCAGTCAACTCAACGGAAAGGCAGCCACTGCCAT